TAATTTGGGAAACAGTTTTGCAAGATACACAAAGCTAGGATGACCAAGACGATAGTGTAACAATATAATTTCACTATCTTTATTGACATTGGAATTTGACACAGAATTAAAAGACCCTAAAAGACTCTGAGACTGGACACAACTTGCTTGTGAGACTTGGTTTGAGGATCGGTCACATGAGAGGAGATAGAGCCCGGAGCACAGTTCAGCACTGCCAATCATCTTCCCTGATTTCAAGTCCTGAAAAATACACAAGTTTGGATAAAATTTAGTAACACATTGAAGGTCACAAGCCAATTTACTAATGGACAAAAGATTACAATCCAAGTTTGGAACATGGAGGACAGAGTCGAGATACAACTCTTTAGTAAGTTTGATGGAACCTGTCCCAGCGATTTTTGAATTTGAACCATCAGCTATATGGACGGACGAGTGACCACTACTTGGCTTGTAATTTTGGAGAAGGGCAGCATCTCCTGTCATGTGATCAGAAGCGCCTGTGTCTACTATCCATGGCCTCATTCCTCCATGGTTAGCAGTGAAGGCTGTATGCGGATCAGTTTGAGCAACCAAACCAGCCCCAGTAATGTTGCCACTGCCGACTTGACTAAACAGTTTCTGCAGTACATTCATCTGTTCTTTGTTGAATGGGCTAGGCTCGGGAACAGGAGCACTATCGGAATTGGAGGCCACATGTGCTTTGCTGTCTCTATCAAACCGTGGCTTTGGTTTCCAATCTGCTGGTTTGCCGTGAAGCTTCCAGCAAGCCTCCTTGTAATGGCCTAGTTTCTTACAGTAATCACACCAAGGCCTTTCCCGTTTCTGATGATCTCCACCATTACTGTTGGATGACCGAACAGCAAGGGCAGAGGCATCTAACGGTGAGGCATGTTGTTCCTTAGATCCCATCATCACTTTCTTTCTACTTTCTTCACGCCTAACCTCGGAGAAGGCCTCCCTGAGACTGGGCAGTGGTTTAGTGCCCATGATTCGACCCCGAACATCATCCAACTCCCTGTTAAGTCCTAGGAAAAACTTGAACAGCCTTTTTTGTTCCACAACCTGCCTGTACGTTGCTGCGTCGTCCGGACATTTCCATGAGTGAGTCTCGAATAAGTCAAGTTGCTGCCAATACCGTATGAGTGTGCTGTAATACTGAGTGACGGACTGCTCTCCTTGGCGGAAGTCATGAAGGGCTGATTCTACCTGAAATAGTTCTGAAGTATTTTCAGAACTGGAGTAAGTTTCTTTGGCTGCATCCCATATTTCTTTTGCAGTTCCAAACAGCAAGAAATTTTCACCTATGTCATTGTTCATGGAATTGATAAGCCATGACATGATCATACTATTTTCTATCTTCCACTTCTTGAAACCCGAATCAGTAGTCTCTGGCATGGCTGCTTCTCCTGTGAGATATTCATCTTTTCCCTTGCCACAGATGAACAGCAACACAGATTGTGACCACTGTAAGTAATTATGGCCATTTAATTTGTGTCCTGTGATGAGAATAGGAGAAGATTCGCTGCCACCAAGGTTTGGAATCTCTGATCTTCCTCCTGATTCTGGGGTCGTGACACTGGATGTTTGTGATGATGCCATTCCGTATTTTGTCATGTCTCAAATATTGCGGAAAAGATGAGAGGAAAGACTGAATATGGATGCTGGAAATATATAAGAGAAACCGGAGATAATTGGCCTGAGAACAACGAAGAGGTGGCCAGAAAACTTGGCAAGAGGTGGCCGGAATAAGAGATGGCCAGAGAGAGGTGGCCGGAATAAGAGATGGCCAGAGAGAGATGGCCGGAATGAGAGATGACCAGAGAGAGATATGGCCGGAAGGGATTAGGGTTCAGAAAACTGGCTCTGATACCATGAAAAATTTCTGAACTTCTATTATTAATAATTCTATAACCCTACAATAGCATATATATACACAAATGACTAATAAGGGAAAAACTAACTAGCTTGATTCTCTCCTAAAAATCAGGAAACAAAATTATGAGAAAAGATCACAACCGATCTCTCCTTTTATTCCTAAAATACTTTCCTAAACTAACTTCCCTAACTTTTGACTTCCGAATTCAACAGATATGGACGAACACTGAACAACCAAAGACTTTCACAGGAAGAGTAGAGAAGACATGAGTGTTAGGAAATGAGTGAAGGAAGACTTGACAAGGTGTTTGGAATTTCAAAACTCGAGAGGGCATCTTGTTTATTAAATAAGTAGCCGTTAAGACTACTTCACCCCAGAAAAATTTAGGAACATGAGTAGTAAACATAAGTGACCGAGCAACTTCAAAGAGGTGTCTATTTTTTCTTTCTGCAATCCCATTTTGTTAGGGTGTATCGACACAAGAACTTTGATGAATAATTCTCTGATCTTTGAGGTAATCACCTAGGACAATCTCAAAATATTCCTTTGCATTATCGGTTTTCAACACTTGTATTTTTGTTTGAAATTGCGTTTGAACCATAGTGTTGAAATTTCTGAAGATTTGTCCTACTTATGATTTTTCTTTCATAAAGAATAGCCATGTAATCCTAGTGTGATCATCTACAAATGATATAAACCATCTAGTGCTAGTGATATTCTTTACTCTAGATGGTCCCCATACATCACTGTGTATCATTGAAAAAGGATAAGATGCTTTGTATGGCTGAATTTGATAGGAATTACGAGCATGCTTAGAAAATTGACACACCTCACATTGAAACATTCTTGGATTTTTATTCTTGAACAAAGATGGGAACAATTTTTGAAGATACACAAAATTAGGATGACCTAGACAATAGTGGCATAACATTATTGCACTATCCTTATTGAAATTTTCAGCAAACACATAACTGTTATTGGCCTGACTACTTGACTTAACACATACTGCATTATGAGCTTGTCTTCTAGGAGGTTCACCGTCTTTAAGAAGAAAAAGTCCTGAGCACACCTTAGCATTGCCAATCGTCCTCCCCGAATCCAAATCCTGAAATTCACACAAGTTCGAGAAAAATAAAGCAACACAATTATTTTTCTTAAGTGAGCTTGCTAACCGACAATAGATTACAGTCCAAGTTTGGAACATGAAGAACTGAATTTAGTAATATGTCCTTTGAAACAATGATAGAACCTGTTCCAGCCACTTTAGATAAAGACCCATCTGCTATTTTATGCACCTGAGTCTACAATCCACGGACCTGTTTTACCAGAATTTGCAGTGAAAGCACTTAGATAATTACCTTTGTGTGCCAATAATCCTGTTCCAATGATTGCTCTGAGCAAAAGTCTATTGTGAGAACATCTTTTGCAACGCTTCGAGTTGTTCATTGCTAAATGGATTGGAATCAATGGGATTAGTTCCTTCATCCACCGAGACATGATTCCCTAGGCTTTCGTTGTCACGAGGAGGTCTTGAAGGCTTCCAATCTGCAGGTTTTCCGTCTCTCAGGTGTGCCCTGGTCTCCGACAATGATCACACCATGGTCTCTCCTTCCTAGGCCGATTGTCATAGTTGTTTTGGAATCCTCGAGCAACAAGGGCAGAACTCTCTATGACAGGAATAGAAGGCTCTCCCATCATCACTTTCTTCCTACTTTATTCATGGTGCACTTCGGAGAAGACTGCTCCAATATTTGGCAAAGGCTTTGTTCCCAATATGCGCCCTCGAACATCATCTAGGCTTTTGTTGAGTCCCATTAAGAACTTAAATATTCTCTTCCTTTCGACAAATTCTCTGAATTTTTTCGCATCATCGGAGCAGCTCCATTCATGTTCTTCGAAAGCATCTAGTTGCTGCCAGTGTCGAGTGAGGATGTTGTAGTATTGAGTGACAGATAAATCTCCTTGTTTGAGATCCTAGAAAGCGGCTTCAATCTCAAAAATTTCAGAAGTAATTTCCTTCTTTGAATAAAGTTCCTTCGCTGTATTCCAAATTTCATTAGCCAATTTATAGAGCAAGAAATTTTCACCTATCTCGTTTGTCATAGAATTGACCAACCAAGACATCACCATATCATTTTCAATCTTCCAGAGTTTAAATTTTGGATCTTCAGCCTTCGGAGGAGTGACTTCACCAGTGAGATACTCATCTTTCCCTTTCTGTAGATGTCCATCATGACTGACTGAGACCACTGGAGGTAATTGCTCCCATTTAGTTTGTGTCATGTTATGTGAAGTGGAACACTGTCGGTTCCACCATGGTTGCTAGTGATGGGGATTTCAGAACTAGAAGTAACTTCTGATGAGGATGGGGTTTGTTTCTCCGTGGCCATTCCGTATTTGGTCATTGAAGGGATAGTTTAAACACTGCCTCAGAGATGATTGAGAAGTACTCGGGCAGAGAAGATTGAGGAAAGAATAGTCTCCTAATACGACTGTGAGAATATGGGAAGAAAAGAGAGAACCCTGTCGTGAGAATGGGCCTGTGAATGGCAGACAGTCAGTCTTGCCGAGTGAACAAGGCCGGATAATGGCAGTATGGTTCAAAGGAATTCCCAGAGAGTATGAGCCTAGAGCTCTGATACCGTGTGAGTTTTTGAGAAAGGAATTTTTATAATTCTCATTGATAATTCTAACTAATTGTACAGCCTTAAATAATGCAGGAGGAAGGACTCTTCTCCCGAAAACAAGCAACCAAAAAAGGAAAAAATACAAAACATGGAATCGGTGAATAAAACCAATATCCCTCTTATTCTAGGAAACAAATAAATCTACTTATAACTAATTCCTAGGAATCGGGTAATAAATAATTCCTAGAAATCAAACATTAAATCATAGATTTCCACAAGTTCTATCCAAACTTCAAACGCTTTACAACTAGTGGACATGTGCCATTATAATTATGTTAAAAACTACTTACATATACCAATTTTTGCCTTCACTAGTAGCTCTCTAAAAGCCCATTCAATCACCTTGTCAGCACTCATGCGCAGCCAAACAATAAGCTAACAAAATCTTATTCACTCACTCTTAATAAAGATACCAAACATAGAATCAAAACACTCACCACTTGTCAAAACGCCAGAGAAACAAGGAATTATCTACAGATGCCCATGCTCTACGTATTTCTGGAAATATTCCGCATAATGCAGTTCCTTCCCCACCCGCTGCATTGTATCTTTCAATAAGTACTGGAGGTAACTCCCAAGTATCAGCCACCTCAACCAAAGGAGGCCACTGCAATAGTTCATTAAGTACAATGTGATGACTGATGAGGAGCAAAATTCATTCTCAATTACTAGGATGTCTAAACAGACATACTGTACCATATAAAAAAATCGGCTTGAAAATAGAACGGGTGAAATGAGCACTAGGGATGAACAAAGGGCAAAAAAATTGAGTTAAAAGTTCATTAAGTACAATGCGATGACTGATGAGGAGCAAAATTCATTCTCAATTACTAGGATGTCTAAACAGACATACTATACCATATAAAAAAATCGGCTTGAAAATAGAACGGATGAAATGAGCACTAGGGATGAACAAAGGGCAAAAAATTGAGTTTAATCTACAAGACCGTGTGCCATATTGTCATCAGTTATAGGTAGATGAAAAAGCAACTTTTAACTTTTGATTTCGTAACAGAATGAAAGCCGTTTTGAAATTTTTAGGCACAGAGTACTTCTATGAGAAATAAAAAAAGGTAAGGAATAATCAAAGTGCCTCGAGATACAACAACTTGCGTTTGGAATCATTTTGCAACACCAAAGATTTATTCCATAAAAACTACTACCTGTTACACGTAGGACAAGTTCGCATGCATGATCACTCAGTTGCTTGAAGAGCACCTAACATGCCCAATAACAAGCCAAAATTGTATATTTTGAAACATAAACAATGAAGATAAATACCTCGCCAAGAAAAGATAATTTAAATTAATTGTTTCCGGTTGCTCAGAAGAGAAACATAACAAGTTTAATGTGAAAAGAACTGAAAATAACTGTTAACTCACAAACAAGATGATTCATTTCCTGAAACATAACCATCATTCAGATTAACAATCAGATGAACTTTATCGAGTCCAAAGCAGGTCTGCTCTATGCGTATTCTACCACATTTTATTCCTACTATACAGCTCAGATACAAGTCTGAATTTCGAATTAACTTTTTCTTTTATTCATTTCTTTCCAATGAAATTCTTCCGCAAATCAGAAAGTTCCCCGACTAGATTTCTAAACCAAGCCATACCATCTCTTCATTCAATCAAGAAATAAAAACCCTAAATTTGCGCACAATTATTTTAGTGAGTCTTCAGCTCAAGGAGGAAAATACTACCAAAAACAACTACACAACTCCATCTGCAGAAATCTTAATACACATACATTAGTCATACCCACACATATACATATGTTTGTATGAGTATATTATATAAGCACAGACAACTTTTCACTCAAATTAACCCAAACAACTAGACAGTAAGCTACTTTCTCTATCCCAAACAAGAAATAAACTAAAATCTGAAGAACTCCCGTTAAAGTGACGAAAATTTTTCCCCTTTGTCCAAAAGACTAGAAAGAAAAACTAAAGAAAAGAGAAAAATTTCACCTCTTTGGGATGAGAAGAATAGGGGTGACTGGCGTATCTGGAAGCTTCTAGAGCCTCTTCCAGATCGAGCTGAGACGCCATTTCTCGGCCAATGCGATCGCTCACGACGAGGCCAGCGCTGGTGACATCCCGCAAAACGACATCGTCCTCTCGCGACATCTCGTCTCGTCCCAAAACCCTAGATTTTGAAGCAGGGGAAATTGGCGTGTCTTCGTGGTTGATTCCGAATCCAGGAAAGGCTGATTGGGGACTTCGTGCGGGTGCACTTTCCCTCGGTTTCTCGGGGAAAGGCTGATTGGGAATTTCGCGCGGGTGCACTTTCCCTCTCGGGAACCAAACAAGGGGCAGTGTAATTGTAAAGAGAGAGTTTGAATAGGAGCGAAGGAAAGGGAGAGGGAAAGTGAAAGTGAGGAAGTAGTGAAGTTTGGGGGGAAAAGTACGCGGTTGTATAGGGTTTTGGGGAGGTTTGTCAGTGGCGGGTAAATTTCGCTAATTTCTCAACTCAAAAAAAAAAAATCAGAAATTATACATTACTGAGTCTACTACATTATTTTATTTATATAGTACCTGTTCAATGAGAATAATATTTAAACACTTTTTTTATTTTTTTTACTTTATATTCTTCTCTTCGTTTTGTAGAAAATATAGAGAGTAGAGAGGACTCAAGAATATAAAAGATAGAGAGAATTATAATAATTTTTTATATATTTGATTGGAACGAGAGGAGTTAAAATGATAAAAGATAATTATTTAGTTAATTATTATATTGATTATTTGTGTAATTTGTTAATAATTTTTTGAAAAATAAAATAGTCTTTTAGAAGTAAAAATTGGTGAATTGCATGAATCCTTCCATTAGTAGAAGGATAATTTGGTAGATTAAGAGGGAGAGCGCATCCCTCAATCCTCTCCCGCCTCTCTTCCCTCTAACTAAACAAGAAATTATGAACTCGTTTAGTTCTCTGATTATTGTTTTTAATTTAAGTTGAGATGTGACTTTATGTGAGAGCTTTTTACTGTAAAAAAAAGTTAGATGTGACTGTTTCTAAGAGTTTTTTATTGTAGCAAAACTAGAATCGGTGAAATGAACGGGGTCTATATCTCTTCCTAGCATTAATTATTCCGTCAAAACCACCATAAGGGTAATTTACATTGAGAACCTTCGTGTTTTTACTAAATTAGCGTAGACACATCCTTAATTAAAACAAATCACATAAACAGACCTTAACATTTCAAAAAATTTACAAAAACACCTCCATTGTTAATTGCCCGTTAAATTTTTGTTTAAATATCAAAAATACCCCTCTATGTATAAAAAATGTTTTTAACTATATTTAGTGTTGAAAAAAAATTAGTTTTACCTTTATTTAGCATTAGAAAATGAGCTCAATTGATCTTTCTCATTTTTAACTATAATTTTGACCCCCAAAAAAATGACATTAAGAAAAATGGTTATTTCTAATTCTTTTGTTCTTTAAAAATCTTTTTGCGATAATAATTTATCTATAATAGGAATGAGAAACGCATGTTAAGTTTCAATCAAAATGTGGTCGTTTTAGTTGAAATCTCAACCTCCCTTAACCAATGGCACCTCATCTTTTTTTTTTTTGGTCTTTTTTAACCCTCAAACTTATTTATTCCATTTATTTTAGTCTTTTTCTACTTTTTTTATTCTTTTTTTTCTAAAACTTATTTATTTTTTTCATTTTAGTCATTTTTTGTCACGTCTATTATTTTTGTTCTAAATTTATCTTTTCATTTTAGCCTCTTTTACTATAAAACGGTTTATATCTTCATTTTGGTCTTTTTTGACCCTTTTTTTTTGTTTTTGTCTCTTTTACCTTAAAATTCGTTTATTTCTTCATGTTAATCCTTTTATAACCTTCTTTTTTTATGAAAGTTTATTTTTCTTGTTTTGATTTTTTACCTTAAAACTTATTTATTTCTTCATTTTGATATTTTTTACTCTATTTTTATTTTTGCCACGAAACTTTAGTTCTTTTAGTTTAGTCATTTTTGCCCTAAAATTTATTTATTTCTTCATTTAGTCATGTTTTGACCATTTTTTCCTTCTTGCCTAAAACTCTATTTTCACTTCTTTTTTTTTTGTTTTGGGTTTTTACATTCGTATTTTATATGCTCTTAATAGTGACACTGTAATTAAAACTTAACACACAATAATTAAAAGTTAGCACATGGATTATTCCTCGAGTTATAGTCAAGTCAACTAGTACTATGAAAAATGTTAGCATACTTTATTTGTCGTTCTACTAATAATATTATTTTTTAAATAGAGAATGAGGTTAGTGTGCACGCGTTAAAAAATAAGAGCTCGTTTAATGCGTTTAAAGTAATGGTTTTAATTCTGTTACAGTGTTTTTCTCTCACGAAAAATTTGAATTTCAAATGTCAAAATCAAGAATTTAAACGTATCAGCTAAACGGACACTCAGGGGGTGTTCATTTCGTAGACTCCACTTAAATCAACCTAACTCAAATTGGTTGCTTGGCCCAAGTCAGCGTTCGGGTAAAAATTGTAACTTAACTCCCAATTCAAATTTAATGGCCGAAAGTGGAATTCAATTACCCTCTGAATTCCATTAACTCGAACCATTTTCTACAGTGCAATCTCTCTACACAACTCCAGCCTTTTCTTCTTGAATTCTCTGTGCGCCTTACCGTTGCTTTGTTTTCTTCCTCTTTTCACTGACAGCTCTCTCCTCTTTGTCGATTCCCATCTTCCACAAAGAGATTTGCTGCAAATATTCGAGAGGAAAATTTTTTTCCTCACGTGGTGAACCGCCTTCACATATGGTTACTTATCGTTAGCGTGCATAACATATTTTTTTTTCATTAATTAGTTAAATATATTAACCAATTAACGTATGACATATTAAAAAAAACGTCATATATGCTTAAAATAACATTAAATGGATATTATCACAAAAATTAGTTGTTACCATTTTTCTCTTTTATTTTCGTATATAAAATAGAGGATAATTGAGATAGTAGTTGGAATCATGAATCTGTTAAATGAACACTTTCACAACTTGAATTGAGAATCAAACTTGATAGTTCATGTGCATTCGTTCATTTTACCGATTTGAGTATTAAATTACAGTTTTGCTACTGTTAAAAGCTTTCACAAAAAGTCACATTTAACTTTTTTGTTACAGTTAAAAGCTCTCACAAAAAGTCACATTTAATTTTTTTGCTACAGTTAAAAGCTCTCACATAAAGTCACATCTCAGCTCGAATTGAAAACTCAAATAAGCGAACTGAACTGGGCCTTAAACACTAATGCTATGTTTGGTAGGATGGATAGAAAAGAGGAAGGAAAGAGAAGTAAAATAATTTTCACTCATGTTGTTTGGTAGAGAGAAAGAAAAGTGAAAATAAACGTCGTGTTTAGAATTGATCATGTTTTTATTTTTACGTTTTTCGAGAAAGAAAAAATGAAACGTTTCTAAAACGGTATTTAGCGCAATAAAGACAAAAAAGGGAAATGAAAATGATTTTTTAGTTTCGTGTAAAATGAGAGAAAAATGAAAAATGACCTTTTAGTCATTTTTCATTTTTTATTTTCGTTTTCTCCTCTCTCGAGTAGAGAGAAAGAGATAGAGACATTAATGAGTTTTTTTATACTGAAAACAATCTCTTGATAAAACTACCAAACGCATTTTTAAAAATGATTTATGTCTGAGATTGAAAATATTTTCATTTTCATTTTCATACAAAAAAGAAAGGCCGTGTTTGGAATTGATCTCATTTTTTCGAGAAAGAAAAAATGAAAACGTTTCCAAAACGGCGTTTGACGTAATAAAGATAAAAAACAGAAATGAAAACGATTTTTTAGTTTAGTGTAAAATGACAAAGAAATGAAAAACGGTTTTTAGTCATTTTTCATTTTTTATTTTCGTTTTCTCATCTCTTGAGCAGAGAGAGAGAAAGAAATACATTAATGAGTTTTTTTACACTAAAAACAATCTCTTGATAAAACTACCAAACGCATTTTTAAAAATGATTTCTGTCTAAAATTGAAAACGTTTTCATTTTCATTTTCATACAAAAAATAAAATCATTTTGGTACGAGTTCTAAACGCGCCCAAAATGTCAAATTTAAGGCATTTTATAATAATACCCCATACAAATAAAAATATGATAAATGATGAATGTTAAAATTGTTATTTTACATCTCATTTTTTGTCAAACTTTTTTCCTCCTCTTTTCTTCTCAAAGTTGGAAGGATTAAAAATTAGTGGCCTTATAGATTTTTATTTTCCTTGCTTCCTCATTTCCTCTCTACCAAACAATGCCTGTTTAACTCGCTGTTTCGAGTTAAGATGTGACTTTATGTAAGAGCTTTTTATTGTAGCAAAAAAATTAAATATGACTATTTTTAAGAACTTTTTACTATAATAAAACTCAGATTCTAAATTTAAATCGGTAAAATAAACATGACTAAAACTCTATTTTTTTTTTACAAAATCCTTCCTCTATTTTTTTTTTTCTCTTTCTTTTCCACCCTGGCAAACACATACCGTAACTCCGATTTCAATTTCACTTCTAATCTAATTCTAACTCTAAACCATAAATAACTCAAATCACAAATATTTTAATTGTGATTTGATCGTTTTGTGCGGGATTGAAAAAAAAAAAAAAAAACTTGTTCTCTTCCTCGGCTCAAGGATCGTTGACGGTTGATCGTTCTGTTCACTTCTGGCAAAAGTGGGAGAGAACTGTCAAGAACAGCATAACTTCCATTAGGCTTTGCAGAGGAAGTTGTCTTTTTTTTTGTTCTTTTTTTTTTTTTTTTTTTTGTGGTCTAAAAGTGCTAGCTTTTGCTTCGTTGAAGTGTAGAAAATCATACAACTATTGCGCACAGCCATGAACAGAGCTTGTCAAAGATTGTTGGTCTCAATTCAAAGCCAATTCCAATCGCGTAATCTATCATCCCAATCCCATGGACGCCTCGGTGTCCCCACCGAGACGCTGAAGCGGAAGATTGCGGAGCTGGAGAAGAAGAGGAAGACGAAGAAGAAGGACGGGGCCATACTTGTCCCGGTTCCCGAGTCCCAAAAGTACCTCGACACCGCCACTCTTCCCATGACTCTCACTTTCGTCGCCATCGCCGTCGCCGCCAAGCTCCTTATGATGGTAATCTTCTAATACATATCTTTAATCTGGTTTTTGGAGTATTTGATTTCGTGAGTTGGCAATGCTCACCTTGTGTTTGATTATTTTTCTCAAAGAACGGGCTAAAATTGTGTGCTTGTTTTTGGAATTTAGTTGGTTTGAGTTTGATATGGGTTTGAATGGAATAGAAATCAATGGCAATCAGACTGTCATGTGAATGGAAGGTTTCTTCTGTCATTTTCTTTTTATGATGTCGCATTTCAGATTTATGATTGATTCTATTCTTGTTTTCCTTTGTTGTTGAAAGAGAGAGTTTATTTCTGTTGGAATTCCTAGAGTTTGTTTCGTAGTATTGTTAGTCTCCTATTACAATTGTTTATCGTGTTCTGCAGAAGAAATGAATAATATATTTTTATGAAAAATGCTTAGGGGCACCTATTATATTGAGCACCACAACTAATAGAGACCGGGCACCACTTGTGGGTCCCACATTAGCGCGTGGTGTCAAATACCACTGGTGTTCTTTTAGCATTGTTCTATTTTTGCTGTATATGAAAATTGTGTTTTTTTTCATGAGAACTGCACGAGACACAATGGTGGCTCCCACGCACTCAGAGAATTTTTCTTATAGTATGAAGGTTCAATTGTATGGAAGCTGGGCAAGAACAACAGTCAAAGACCTTCTTGTTAGTAATATCATGACTTGGTTATTTTCTAGACTATGAGCGTTTAGTGATATTGATCTTTCATGCTGGCAGTATGAATATGATGAGACGAGATCACAAGAGAGGATTGAGCGCCAAATAAAGAATGCTCCTGAGGGCCAAGGCACAGTCAGGATGCTTACTCGTGAGGAGTGGGAAGAAATTCGGGAAGTGAGGCCAAGGACTCCGTTTGAATCCAAACTAGCTCGTCCAAATGCACGACTAAGAACCGGAGAACCGCTGCGCAAGGTAAGATACAAATACCAAGCACTTTGAACGCTTTGCTTTCTTATATTTACTATATGTTAGTTTTTCCACAAAAATTTAATGACTTCATACTCTAGTTTGATTTGCATTGTATATCTTGTAAAGACTGGTGACAGTTGTTGAAAAAAAAAAGTCATCTAGAGGGAAAAGCTGTTCTTCCATATCAATCACTCTGCATAAAGAACTGAAATGTTTCCCAAATTCAATGGCAGAGAATCATGTCCAAAGTTTTAGGAGGGAAAATATAGTATATAGGCTGCTTCTTTCTTGTTGATTGCTGTGTACTTCTCAGTTGTTTACGAATCTAAATGTAGCATACGGACTACCTGCTGACTTTGTCTACACAATTGTAACATACATCTGTTCTGGCACTTGTGAGGTGCTATAATAATAAAAGGAAATCTTATTATTTCTCCATTCAATGCATTTTTCTCGTCCTTTTTCTTTTTCATTTCTATTCTATTGGGCGAGTGAAATGATCAAACATTTATCTATCTTAGAAAACAATTGGATGCTATTATAAGATAAGATTAGAACATTTTTTTGGGAATATAAAAAAAATCAAAATTACATTTTACTATCTTGACATGACACCCTTAAGTTTTGATGTGTTTCGTACATGTACAGATGCATATCCTTAACATTTTTCTACCTCAAAATTACAAATATACATATCCTTAAAAAAATAATAGCTTTGCTTTTATGCTTACTATGCATCTTTGCATGTTTTACACAGGAGGATCTGAAGGATTGGACAATTGATGTGCTCACAGATGCACTTACCCGAGTTGAAGAAACTGTCGGACACAATTCACAGTGAATTTCTCTACTTCTTAAAGTACTCTTACTTGATTACCTTAAAGATAATATGTGGTATTAACACTATACATAACAATGGTTAATGGTTGCTTTGCTTGGGAAACTGTACAAACGAGTTACTACATAAGACATCCATGACAAGCGGTTGAAAGAGAAAATAAGAAAAGTTTGGAACAAGTATAACCTGTTAAATAATTATTCAAAAGCACAATCAGTTGCCTCACAATTGCTATGACCGGTCATTCGAGGGCAGTAGTTAACTTTGGGTGCCAAAAATTCACCTCAAGACTTCTTTCAATACAAGTTGATAATATTGAACCCGCAACTCACCTCAAGCCCCGGGGCCCTGGGGGTGTCCCGGGGGTGCCCCGAGGGTCTCCCGGGGGTGCCCGGGGGTGGCCCGTGATACGAACCCCGCCAACAATGTGACGAAACCCGTAGCCAAATATGGGATACGATCCAAGATCTTCAAGAACAGATGGAAACCGCGACCCTATGCTTAGCGAAACAAGAACCTTGGTATGGTGAAGACGCCACAAACGAGTATGGAAATTCGTTTGATAAGTCAAGTTGAACGCCACAAGGAAACCTTGATAAGTTCGGAATAGTTTCTTCAAGAACACATAGAAGCCTAAAATAAGATAAAATAAAAATATCAAAACTTCTTATTAATTTCGTTTTTTAGCCTTAAATAGCAAAAAATAAGCTGAAAAGGTTTAAAAATTGAAAAGTCTTATTCTATCTTTAATGAGATAGAAGCCTAAAATAAGATAAACCTAAAAACGAGATAAACGCAAGCCTAAAGCTTATCCTAGGGAAGGAATCTGAATTTGAATCTAATTCCTTCCTTAAAAATGCCTAAGATGAAATTTAAATGTTTAATCCGTAATTTTGACTTGATCCCTTGCTGGAATGTGCCCCTAACTTCTTGGAACTTGCTGGAATGTGTGCCTAATCCCTTGGAGCATTCCCATGCACATGAGCCTTGGGATGTCATGCGAATTTGACCATGCTTGAGTAGCTCTCTTCCGGATCAACTTTAATGAGCAACACAAGCCTTTGTCCACCCTCAGTAGTGAACACACTTTCTTCTTGTTGTAGAACTTATTGGACTAGGTTATTCAAGTCTTCTTTAAATCTTTTAGCTCGATACTTTGTCACCGGACCAACTGGAACTTAGATTGGATCATGAGTATTCCTTGCATCCCTGATGTCCTCATCATCCCGGGGGTGTCCCGTGGGGGCCCCGGGGGTGCCTTGTGGGCGCCCCGGGGGTCTCCCGGGGGCGCCCCGGGGGTCTCCCGGGGGTTCCCAGGGGGTGCCCGGGGGTCTCCCGGGGGTGCTCTGGGAGTAGGGCTGGCAATATGGGTCACGACACGACTCGAAAACGACACGAATTTTGCGGGTTAGGGTTGAGAAAAAAGAGGTTCGGGTCAGAATTGGGTCGACATGAAATTGACACGAAAAATACGGGTCAATTTCGGGTTGGACCGGCCTAACCCGAACACGACACGAAACTCGTAAAAAGCTAAAAAATACATATATTTTTCATTTCATATTTTAAATTTTATTATGAACTTGTGATATCATGATAGTTATACTCAAAATCTTATACTATTATTTGCTTAATTTCAATGAATGTTATTGTAATTTAGTGGGTTATGAATTTTATGTTATTTCTAATATGTTAAAAAGTAAATAAAAGTATACAATTTTCGTGTCAATTTCGGATTCACGGGTCAATTTTGTGTCACGGGTCATTTTCGGGTCGTGTCGTATCTTGGACTGCCATGCAAGTTGGCCATGTAATGTCTCAATACCTCGTCACCGGACCAACTGGGACTTGAATTAGATAGTGAGTATTCTTTGCATCCCTGATGTTCTCATAACCCCGGGGATGACCCGTGGGTTCCCAAGGGGTGTTTCGGAGGTGCCCCGGTGGTGACCCAGGCGTTCCCCGGGGGTGTCCCGGGGGTTCCCCGGGGGTGTCCCGGGGGGTGGCCCTGGGGTGCCCCGGGGGTGGCCCTGGGGTGCCCCGGGGGTTTGCCGGGGGTCTCTCGAGGGTGCCCCGGGGGTGCCTCGAGGGTGCCCCGGAGGTCTGCCGGGGGTGCCCTGGGGGTGTCCTGGGGTGGCCTGAGAATGTCCCAGGGGTGCCCTGGGGGTGCCCCGGAGGTCTCCCGGGGGTCTCCTGGGTGCCCCGAGGGTGCCCTGGGGGTGTCCCGTGGGTCTCCCGGGGGTTTGCCGGGATTGCCCCGGGAGTGTCCCGGTGGTGCCCTAGGGTGGCCCGGGGGTCTCCCGGGGGTGCCTCGGGGTTGGCCCGGGGGTGCCCCTGGGGACTCCTGGTGGTGTCTCGGGGGTGCCCCGGGGGAGCCCCGGGGGTGTCCCGGGGGTGCCCCGGGGGTCTCCCGGCGGTTTGTCGGGGGTGCCTCGGGGGTGTCCCGGGTGCCCCGGGGGTCTCCCGGTGGTCTCCCATGGGTGTCCCGGGGGTGCGCCGGGGGTGTCCCGTGGGTTTCCCGGGGGTGCTCCGGGGGTGCCCCGGGGTTGCCCTATGGGTGTTATATACGAGAGGATAGTGTTTAAGGATAATAATAAAAAACATTGTTCATAATGAATTTAATTAAAGTTCAGAATATTTAATTAAAACATTATTAATACATGTCATTCCTATTTAGAATGGAACGGTGCTATCCGCACTGTTAATATGGTGAGATATTGAATGAGTGTATTACGCATAATAAGATTATGTTGAACATGGACGCAGACACAATATGAATTTTTAATAATTTCTGTTAAGCATAGAAATTCTAATTGAGTCTACCGATGGTCATATATAGAATGATCTTAATCCTGAGTTCTTAATAAACTCTTATTTATGGATTTATGTCTTTTGATTTACTCGGTGCGGATTCCGAGACTCTGAATCCTATTCCTTGTATTTTGAAGACATGATGAAATAGGTAGCTGGGAATGTTATTATACGAGATGGAATCCATTCCTTCTTGAGAAAGAAGTAGATAAATAATTCTCTTGAGAGTGTTGATTCGGTACTTGGATTCGTAAGAGCGCTCTGTTTCATGAATGTGTTTTATGATCCACTATCCAT